TTTTACAATCGTATATAATTTTAATTCATTATCCAGGGAACAAAAGTTCTTTGTAAATACTGATTCTATTTCCGATGTATAAAATTTCACTTCTATTTTAATAGCGAATACGAAATAAATGTTCTCGGTATGTTATTGTTTGATAGATTGTCTAATTATACTTATGTTCTTATCTCTTCCGAGTTATCTCCCGATATTTGTTTCAAGTTCTCGATGACAATTTCCGTTTTAACATCCGTCTACCAATACAGATTAAATTTCATTTAACTTACTTTCTATTATTTTTTTAGTCCAAAGAATTTATAAAAAGATAAAAGGTATATCAAGATTGAAATTAATCCAGCGGGGGAGGTTCTCGTCATTTCGGGGTATAAACAGGTGCGCGAAACGCCATAGGCTCTCTTACTATTTCCAAACTCGGTTACTTACTCACAGTCTCTCTTACCTACTCACCTACTCTCGCAGTTACTCTCTTACGCACTTACTTATATCCTGAACACAGAGTTTCAGTTTTTCTCTTCGACATTAACAAGAAAAGCACAAAACAGAGTTTGTCCTTTTATACGTGAACCTCTGCCCCCACTGCTCAAATAAAGGCAAACGCTCGGTCTAGATATATTATGTCTATGAGTAAAACATTGTAAGAAATCTTCCATAAATTAATATGATTCCCTTCGTTATTCCCCCCCCCCCTCTCTTTCTGTCTCTGTCTCTCAGGAGTAACCACCACAAGTCCCCTCCTACCCAATTTACAAGAACATTTCCGACGTCAGATTATCGCCGCGAAAACCAAACGCGCTATCTTTCCGGGCAAGAATAAAATCTATTATCTTTAGTATTTTCGTCATTTATTAATTTTCACACAATCTAGTCCGATCCCCGGTAAAGCGCACTTAAATGTGCTGACCGAAAAAGCGGGCATAACGAATACTCTTGTCGAATTGTGACAATACTTGGAAGAAAGCCAACGAATCATTAGTTTCCATATGGAAAGTGAAGAGTATTTTTGATGACGCAGGTCTGGCAAGCTAATACGAATTCTCTAGCAGAAAAAGAACTTGTATATATATCTCATTCCTTTTCTTCCTTAATTATACGTTGCGCCACCGCGTAAAATCCGGATCTTTTAATTTAGCGAGACAGATCGGAGAGAACAACTCTTGTCCGAAAAAATCCGGTTTTGTGTACAAATATCGAAGACGAGACGGCCGAGATATTTTTTCAATGAGCTCATGGCATCACCGGCTCATGATAACCCCGTCAGAATTGTAATTGATAATCGGTCTTATCGAAGACTTCGCGCGGAAAGCTAAACAACGGCTTCCGACCATATCGTTCATCCGGTGGATTTGCGTATCTCAACTAGATTCTTTCGTTCCACGATAACAGCCGAAACATCGTTCGTGTGAACGATGAACTTCGCGCATAAAAATCTGCTATTTTTCTGTCTGCATTATCGACGACGATCAAAGTCCGTGTGTTCAGATAAGATTGCCCTTTTCGGCTTCCAATATTTCGCCGGGGTTATCACAACACGTTCATTCTTCGAATGCGCGATATAATGCATTCGCTTCTGTAGCATTCTGTAGAAAAGTAATAAATGTTAATCATCCTCGATATTTTTGTCGCGGAAATATTGTCTCTAGGTCGAGTGAAGAAACGTGCGGTTAACGTTCGCCGTGTGTGTCGTCGGCTGTACATATGGCAGGAACCGTGATGAAAGAATATCCAGTAGTTCTGCCAATATATTTTAAGCGTGCCTCTCTCTTCTTCCCCCTCTCTCTTTCTCTTTCTGTCTTTGCCGTAGAGAAAAGTGCGTACGTTCGATCGTTCACGTACGCACTTCGTATTGGCGCGCGCGCAATTCTGAGCACATCCGCGCCTTCAAAATCGAGAGTTTCAACTTGCAAAGCTGTCGCTCCTCAAGAGAATAACAAATTGAGTTGAAAGTCCTCCGATAATTGTTTTTCAAACCTTTTCCTACCACGTGTTTTTATAACGTCACACTTCACTGTAAATTAATTCCCAAAGAGAAATGTCGTACGAATTTCCTAATTGTTTTCACGTTTGTTCGTTGCAACTGGAAAAGTCGCAGTGTTTTTTGCGAAAAGGAAAATAAAAGAATTATATCGCCTCGTACACGTGACGCTCGGTTATCGCGGGACGTTTGTGTGCCGTAAAACTGTTCCGTACAATCCCACATTTTATGTGCAACGACCTAATACTTTAGATAACAGCCTCGAGTTACTTAGCCTTGCGGTCGAGTGAGGCGTACCTAATGCGACAAGAATACGCGTTATAATTGTACGCGATTGGAGTAAAATGGAGTCAGATAGGATTTAGCGTGCGCTTCGAAACGTTGCGTGAAACATGATCGTCGCAATGTTACGTAATAGCAGTGCACGATGTTGTTACAGTCATTACTTGTGTGCGCTATGCACAGTAATACAATACCTACGTGACATACGGTGACCAATGGTCGACGTAGGTAATAACGGCGCGGCGAACTGAAGCGCCTCGGTTAGTTACACAAACGCGTAATGACATATTTCTTACACCTCAGTCTTTTCTCTTTTTGCATTCGTGATTGAAAATAGAAAGCGCAAACAAGTTGGCGAAGTGTAAGATCTTGAAGAATTTTTTACGAATTCTGCTCGGTCAGAATAAAATTGAAAGGCACATACGACTAATTTACAGTGTTAAGTCCCTTACACGAAAAATGCTCTTCGCAAAAAAGATTGAAAGAAATTGAGGAGAAGAGAAAAGAGCAGGCGAAAATAGGTTCCAAAGAGATTTGGATTCAAGAAGAAATGTAGCAAGATAAAAAGCACGATTAAAGAACGCGATAAAAAATTATTTCATAAAAGAAAATAAAAATTGGAAATAAAAGGAACCGCGATAGACTCGCGAGAGATTTATGCGACAAGAAAAGTAGAGGTACTTAAAGAGTACAAAAAATTTCTGAATCTTCTAAATTCCTGAAAACGTTTCCGAAAACTAAGGCTTTTTCTGAGGAGAGGAAACGGTGCAGTTACGATGCGACAAAACCGAGAACTCTTTTTCATGCTTAAAAAAAAAACTCTTTAACGAAAGGAATGAGATAACATTCGTAACGCGTTATTAATATTCAACGTCGATGACGTCACGCGAGCACGTCAAACGCGCTATTATTATTTAGCGACGTACTGACTACTCATCAATAACGTATTTTTCGATTGAAAATTACGCGTCACATTAAGTATTACGTAAATATACAAAATACGTGTTCGTACTTAGTAATCCCGGTGATATTCATTTATCGAAACGCGTATCCGGTGACAAAAACAGGAGGAAACGAAGAACCGCTGACTCGTTCAGTCCTCCTCTTTCACAAATTTGTTAACAGCACAAATTTTTGCCTAATGAGTCACTGTTGTGTATCATTCTGGGAAAATATTAATTTAGATATCTAGATATTTAGAGATTGCAGTTGCAAACCGGCATCGGATTGCTGCGTTTGAAATGCATTTATACAAAGTATAATATTGTATATTAATGTAGGACCGAGCCTCCAGGGATAGACTCGGTATATCATTTTTTTATGTTTTAATTCATCCCAATTCTGGGTCCCACATCGACCTTCATTTCAAGCAATAATTCAAGAAATTTCCGAGCAACTAAAACACGCGTTAAATTAAAACAATTCAATAATGTTGTTTTATCAAAGAGAGGAAATAGTTTTGTGAATAATATGAATCTTTTGATTCGTGGCGTTTCTACAAATTTAATTTAGAAAGTTGCAAATATTTAGGACGAATCAAAACATATGTTTTCTAAGAAGATATTACATATCTTTAATATATTTGTTGTCTGTTAATATATTACTTTTTCTCTTTTCCTCTCTTTCCCTATAATTTTATGTTTTCTGATTCTATATTAATTCAATATAAACTAATTTAGTATAATATAAAAGGATTGAATTGCCTGTTTCGACACTTCCGGGGTGCACATTTCCGCTTCGTTGCTCGTGCAACAAGGCCGTCGAATGAGAACCGTAACTGGCTGGAATCATTGTGCCAAGATTGTGCTAGCTGGTTGATATAATTTCTTACATAAGCAAATCTCCGATAAGAAATCTCTAATTACTTGCAATTATAAAACTTCAAATTATTTGCAATTACGATGCTTTTTCAATATCGTGAAATTTTAATTTATTGCCATTGATCTTTTGCAATATATTGCACATTTTTAATTTACGCATTTAGTCAAATGTACGAACGGTTCTTTCATAACCTAGTCGCGATTATTCGTTAGCGATTATTACGAAAATTACCAAGTTTGCTCCAGGCACATATCCCTGTTCCATGTTTACGAAAGCGAATTATTTTCTTTAAGGACATAAATAATTCTTAAGAAGGGTCCGAAACGAATTATTGTACGATGACATATGGATAGGTATCCAATGACATGCGCCGAGAGAATATACGATTATTTCCAAAATAAACATACTACACTCGGAAATCGATAATCCAGACAAAAAAGAGAAATGATATTTTATATGTCTTTATTTTTTACCTCATGTATTTTTTAAATATAATACATCTTAGAAGCAGACCCTAAAATTTTTCAATAATCTTATTTAAAATAGAAACAAGTACTGAAATAATATATATATATATTTTTACATTTTTATAATGTTACATTTTTTCTAGATTTTTCCTGAAACACTGTTAGACAAGAATTATTCCTCTAATTAAATACGCAATGAGATCTTTGTCCGAAAAAATCCAGGTACACGATAAAAAAACAGAAAATCCATTTACGACTAATAAGAGACACCAAATATCTAACAAACCAGCGATACCATTTTTTTTCTTTATTTACTTTGACAATAAAATTCACCCTAATCACAGTTATGCGAGGGAAATGAAAGGAATCTAAACTCCAAAGAATCACTGGAATATTGCTCGAATAGCGATACATTTTTGTGAAATCCTATGCAAAAGAAACGTGCAAATTACCTCATCCGTCGGATTTAAGCTCCCTTCCGGATTCCGAAGGGACGTTTCCGAATCCCAAGGGGACATTTCCGAATCCTGAAGGAACGTTTCCGAATCCCTTCGTATCTCGTTCTCGTATCTCCGTACATTCGAGATTTCCGTTTTGCTGTAACACTTGCATATCCTGCTGAATAACGACCTGTTCTTCGTCTTCATCTCGCCAGCTCACCCTGACAATGGCCTTGACCTTGACCTTAACCCTGATCCCGACCTCTGTTACACTTTCCCTAGCAAAACGGCAATTCCGCGACTGGTCCTTGCGAACGACTGCTGCCCGATTATTATTGACTGCCCGAGAGCAATATCAAGAGACATCTGACCCTGAACAAACACCGGCAAAATAATTTTATCCGGCGCGTTATTAGCGCCATCTGAAGGTGTTCGTCTTTTGAAATATAATACGCATGAGAATTGAAAATCGATCGCGTGACGTCAGCCGAAATCAGCCTCATATCGCCGAGATTTCAAGAGGATCTGATCGCGCGAGGAAACGAAACGCGATGTCGCGTCAGTGGAAAAGAAACGACACTTCAAAGGTTCTGCAAAGGGGAGAGACGAGGTGGGATGTCGCGTCTCTATTGGCGAAAGTTCTGGGAGTGGATTTTTCACGAGAGTGATGTCGCCATGTCTTCAGTTTTTTGCCGCTGAAAATTTTTATCCCCCTCGGAGAACGCCACGGAATTTGATGTCAGTTGCGAGCAATCTGCGGCCGATACCTAATCGTTGAAAAAAAGTTCGACGCTTCTAAGTAATCCTGAAACGTCTCGAGGAGGAAGATTCGAACAGCCCGCCATTTTGCTTCCCGCAGGATCGTTCTACGCCTGAGCGGGCCGTGACTTCCCGGCGTGAAATTCAAACATCTCGCAAGATGTCGCGTTATCTCAGAAATAAATTCTTTTTCACACTTTACACACGGATGTCGGGGTTTTAGGGATATTCGTGCGTTCCCCTTGGGAGACGCCTCTATTTTCTCACGTTTACGGAAATGCAGAACGATGTGGCGAACAGAGAAATTAAAAGTGGAACAGACCGGTTTCAGTCAGCGAAAGGAAAGATACGGATTTGTGCGACGCCACGCACTGAAGACAAATAAAATTGTCGTGCTATCTTCGAACAATCCCATAAATTGTCGTATCATTATCGTGCTAATAAAAAACGTTTAGAAATGCGTCAGCTTATTCAGCGCTCTAAGCATTTTTTTTTCTGTTACGCGTAGACATAGCTGTAAGAAAATATTTGCGGACCGGATTTCAGGGAAAATCCGATCCATCGAATCTTTATCTCGCGACCTGACTTCTCTCTTTTCATCCTGCCGATGGACTTTTCATCGTGACACTCGCAATGACGGTGCCGCCTATGGCAGCCTATATTGCAAGTAACGAAAATAAAAATGTTATATAAAATACTCGAAGATAAATATTTGCGATAAATGAACCTCATGCCTGCCGATCGTGATCTTGTTTTCGAGTCAGATAATGGAATCGGTTTCGACGACCTCCCTTCCGGGGATCAGCCCGGGGGGGCATGACAGAAATTGCGATACGATCTCAAATCTGAGATACAGATCCCGTCTTGCGTTATTGCGATCTTTCCCCACGTCACGCGAAGTTCACGTGCTCCTCGCAGCACGGAGCATCGAGGGTTATTCGGGTATCCGCTTCCGCGGGGTATGTTAAGGACAGAGAGTGAGTAGTTTTACGGAAAAACTTGCGGTACTTACGCAACGAGGGTCAAGGGTGGCGCGAAAGGAGAGAGAGGGATCACCGACTCACCGATTGGTCAATGTGCTCCCATTTCTCCCCGACATAGTCCCGGACTTGCTCGGTCATTGTCCGCGAGGGGAAGAAAAAAAGAAAAAGAGAAGCGGCAAGGACGCGCGGGAGCAAGATACAATAAATATCGATTGAAGGTCGTGATTAGCGGGCGAGCAATCACACAGACACTCTCGGGACCACTGTGGGCTTACATCATTTGCAGCCGCGCGCATCGCGGCTGCAAATATAGCCAAGCTTCATCTTCGCGCGTGTGCGTATCTCACGCACGTCGCGGTTCTATAGGTGCGCATTGACCGCCGCGCGCGATTTTTGCGCGGTGTATTTTCGGCGTGGAGATGGAGCCAGAGCGCGTGGAGATGGGGCTGGGGTATCTCGCACCTGCTCCACTCCGACCGGGCGCCTGTCTCCTCGCGACCACCTCGAGCCGCGAGAGCGCGATGCCGATAAATATTAATAGGAGAATGTGAAGAATAGCGATTAATGAATATTGAATGTAAATCCAGACTCGCACGTCGTCCCGACGCCGTCTCTGTTCGTCCGGTCCGAAGATCGTGGCGTCGTGAATCACATTGTACACTGCAGACCTCAAGTGTGCGACGGGCACAAAGGTCTTAGTTCGAGAGTGCGACGAGTCGTTTCAGAGATCATCCGAGAAATTCGCGGCTCCAAGGTCTGGTTAAATGGAGAACGGAAGTTTACCTTCGATAGGCGCGCTTATGAATATTCCGAATCAATTCTCGTGGCTTCGCCAAGCTCGAGAGCCACTCATTCTGAAAACCTGTGTTCGATCTAAACGACCTGTTTACGCATCTCGAGATGAATGTTAAAAGACGTACATATTTACGCATATTTCGCGACAGTAGGACCCAGTGATAAATGATTTGATGTAAAAATGATGAGATCAATCGGAAATCAATTTTTACATCGATTTAAGCAATATTTTATGTCAAAATAATGTGTGCTTGCTACTTTAGATAATGCAATTTTGAAATATAATAAATACAATTTTTTAAGAAGTCAACAATTAACATTTATGCTATAAAAAATGGCCTTATCTAAAGTAGCAAGCACACATCATTTTGACATTGAAAATTGCCTAAATTAACTGATATGAATGACGTTAATTGACCAAACACAATACTGAATTTGAAAAGTTTTGTATGAAGCAAATCGAGGCAACTGTTCGATGTTGCTCTAGTCGTTCGGAGTAATCGAAGCGAAACGGAACGAAAATGGCAGACAACATTGCAGTAGCTAGTGCCAGTTTTATCGTTTTATATAATTTATTAAAGAAAAAGAAAAAGACGAGAAAGCAAAGGCGTTGGTGGTCAACGCAATTGTACTTGACTAGAAGACGAGTAAATAATATTAACATCTTTTTATGGAATGATTCGTTGGCTGACAAAGAAAGTGACCAATTCAAAAATTTTCCTAGAATGTCGGAAGAAGATTTTATTAAGATTTTTTTTAATTCCATCAAAGAAAAAATATCAAAAAATGATACTACTTTTCGAAAAGCAGTGCCGGTTGAGGAAAGATTAGCTGTAACTTTGCGATATCTTACAACTGGTGATTCCTTCACTAGTTTACAATACCTGTTTAAAATATCAAAACAATTAATATCGCAAATAGTACCGGAAGTATGCCAAGCAATAATTGATTGTCTCATCAGTTACGAGAAGGTAAGTATTTTATTATTATTATTAAATATATTAATTTATTATACTTTTTATTAGTAACACTTACTTTTAAAGCAATACATATTTAATAACGCAGAATTGTACTGTAAAAAAAATACGTAATATGTAATATATTTTTTTATAATGTTTTATTCTGTACGTTGGGAATCATTGGTAGAATCAGAAAAGTATTGCAAGGAGTTGGATAAAGGTGATTCGTGTCTTTGAGGGGATGGAGAAGGCGAGCTAATATTACTAACTGGAGTGGATGACTGTTCAGTTTTAGGCGGATAAAAATTGTTATAGACGGAAAAAGATTGTGTACTTGATTGAGTGCTAGAATTTTCATATAGATGCATTTCTAATTCGAATAAGAGGTTGCTAATTCTATGTTGTGCAACTGCACGAAGATGATTATCGAATGAACGTAATTTATCTGCAATGTAGTCGCCGAAAAGACTACATTGATCTTTTCGCTGTTGTAAAGCTGTTTGTCGAAGATATCCAAACGCTTCCGCAATTCTTGGATCTTCGTTAGCCTGTTTTTGTTTAACTGAACGTTTTTTCGGAAACTTGAACTCTTTATTCTGAGTTTTATTTGTTAAATGATATATAATTGCTTGTGGATTGACTAATTCTTCGTTGATTTGCTCATTTTCTTGCTCTTTTTCTTTACCTCTTTCTTCGGTCTCATCCTGTGCTTCATTGTCGCCTTTTTCGTCGTCAGACACAGTTTGCAAATTCTAATTCGGGAAACAATAAATAAATGCATTTTGTAATTTTCTTGCATATTTGTTTATAGATTATAAATTTTACAGATTGAAAGTTAGGGTAAGATATTTTATTGATATGATATCTCCATATAACAAACATTTATTTTAGCATATTGATTTTGATAGGACATTCTGCCAGTAAGTTTTATAGATTATAAATTTTTATAACATTAAATAAGTACATTCGAGTATGATTTTTATTTGTTCAATTTTTTCAGATGCCGTTAACTCCCGACGAATGGAAGAAAATTGCTAAAGAATTTGAGGAAACATGGAATTTTCCACACTGTATAGGAGCTGTCGGAAAGCTCTCGAGGTAAGCTACAAGAATATGCAAAAATATATAGGGTGTTCTATTTAAAAAATTTAAGGTGACCTTCGTGTAACCTTCTAACGATTCTTCAAGGTCAAACCAATGGCACCATCTTATAGCCCCCTTGAAACCATACAACTTTCGTCTGAAACATTTTCCTCCAAAATTCTTCATTTCCAAGATATACGTCTGTTACACTTTAATTGACTCACCCTGTATATCATGTGTCGGTTGCCCAAAAGAAGACACTCGAAAAGGCACTCGTGGAAGAGACCCGTGACACTCTTGTATATAATAAAATATCTTACCCTAACTTTCGATGTTTCTCAATCAAAATACTTACACTTGGAGTCCTGCGAGGCTCGTCTTTATCTTCCAAAAATTGTAGACTTTCATAAGCGAACCATTTTGATTTATACATCTCATGTCGTCCTGTAAAAATATATTCTTAAGATAACTCATTATTATGGAACCTCAATGCCTCCCCTCCCTCTCTCTCTCTCTCTCTCTCTCTCTCTCTCTCTCTCTCTCTCTCTCTCTCTCTCTCTCTCTCCTTTTTACCTTTTCCTGTTCCCATACTTGTTTTGGCTCGCGTCTTCTCTCGTCTGTATGAACCTTTTAAACTGTCAATCTTCTTTTTCAATTCTTCAATGCTTTTTCCAAATTTTTCACGTAGTTCTTTCCAAGCATCTTCTTTCTTTAATTTGTTATAATATGCAGGATCTCGCGGATTCCACAGGACTTCCTTTTTTCTATACTCATTTATAAGTTGTATGCATGTCTCTTGATCCCATTCCATTACTGCGAAACACATTCGTTTAAAAAATTATACGCGTCGTTAATTTACATAAATATTTTCTGTACTTACTGACGAGAGTTTATTCACTTCTGTTCGTGCGCGACTGACCGTCGAATACGCGCATGGACACGTCCAAACTGAGCGTTACGTTTTCTTTGATCGACCGACAGCGCTCGGACCGAGGCAATTTGCCGCGCCTCGGACCAACGTATGCACTTGTACGCTCATGCGGCCTCGGCTTACCCCATTCGCATCCGTGCTCAAGTCTGTACCCGGCTTTAGACGAGGCTCTTCGCGCTTCGTTACACTCATCGAACACCTAGAAAGTTACTCTACTTGGAGTCAGTCGACCGCGCGACTCGTCCGAGTCTCGTCTGACTGAGCCCCGACCACCTGAGCACCAACAAAGTCAGGATGGCCGAGCGGTCTAAGGCGCTGCGTTCAGGTCGCAGTCCACTTCTGTGGGCGTGGGTTCGAATCCCACTTCTGACAATTGTTTTTTTTTTTTCATTCGAAAAATTACGAAGTATCCGGAATACCGTGACGATTCAAATGGAAGGTGATTTATTGCTCGAATATGTACACGTGTTATACAAAACAATGAATAAATTATGTTAGATATGTGCATATCGAATCGCCCGTCCACGTATACACGAGACACATATTTTCAGGTTTTCCGAACGCCGTCGTGCAACGATTGCACCCCGCGGACCGCGGTGCATACGCGGCTAACGTCAGAGCGGAGAGCGGGCGATCGTCGTCAACATGGCGGACGGCGACTTGCTCGTCACTATTTCGGGCGCGGCGCTCTCACTGCTGTTCTACGAAAATGTGCGCAGCGTCGGCGAGCAGGTAAAGCGAGAATCGCGTATCGATTTGTCGATAAATTCTTATGGCTGTCCGCCGTCGCGTGGAAAAACCGTCCTCGGAGGGACGCGTCTCCGCCAGTCGCTATAACCTCTCCGCGCCTACATTCGTCAACGGCGAGAGGCTGACGTTTCTTTATTAATTCTTGCAGATGGGCTTCCTCCTCGGGGAGGCGCTCGAGTTCATCGTCAAGACCTACACAGACTCCGACAATCAAGTGGAGACCGTCAAGATTCACATTAGTGAGTATAGCCGCGATAATCCGCGTCCTTCGTGTAAACAACGGAGGAGAAGAAGAGCGATTGAGTGCGGGGGTGGGAATGTGGGATCCGCTTTGAAGTGCTAGAGGTGCAGATAAAAAGTGCACGTTATGTTTAATTTAAAATGTTATCTCCGTCCCCCGAGGGTCGACGATATTCGATGACTTTTTGCACACTAGAAATCACTGCCTTCCATATGAATTTAGGCACATGTGGAACACATACATTTTCCATGTGTGTAAAGGAAAGTCCTCTATTATGAGATAGTGAGTTTCCAACGCAAATCTTTTTTTCGCGACGATTACGCGTTTAACGATAAATTTTCTACTAAATAGATTTCCCTCCAAGAGCAATAAATTTGTAGTGGAACAAACAAATGATGCCTATTAGTTCAGCAGAAACCCTGCTATCTCGTATCAGGAGCTTATCTCATAATAGGGGACTTTCCTCTATATCTTTGGCTCAATTGATGATTTACTTAAACATCTTCGTTACGAACGAGGACGGCGTCATAAGCTTCAAAGCTGTAGAAATCTTTAATTCTACTAAGACAAGTCCTATAGTATTGACATTTAAACAGAAGCGTGCATTTCTACCCAGGAGGAGCATAGTTTTATATATTCAATAAAAACTGTCGTATAAATGGAGTATACGATTATCAATTTAAATAGTAACATCTGTAATTTGGTAGATGATACTATCGGTTCTACAATGAGCCTTTTTAGATAGGGAAACTGTATTAGGATGTGTTGATTTTAGCTATTCGATTGTTTTCACAGTTTAATTGAAATCAATTGTTTAGATATCTTTTCTATTATCTGCACAATAGGAAGACGCGATCGGTCTAAAAATATAAAGCAACACAACCGGAATAAGATACTTGGTGATAAAACCTTATCAATTTCCTCGATTATGACTTGCTATTATTGTTGCTGTCGCTATTATTATCGCTCTCATTTTTATCATTACTGTTGTTATAATTTATCCTATTGAAAACGCCGTAAACACTTTCAGACGTGGAGACCATTGTGACGTGTTCTCTGACCGATCTTTTGCACGACTCCACCGGCCGGATCAATAAGGAGAGCCTGAAGGATTTTGTGCGTGACAAGAGCAAACAGGTGATCGGTTGGTTCCGCTTCCGAAGAAATACCAGCAGCTTGATCCCGACGATGAGGGACAGGGTACTGCACAAGCAGTTTGCCTCGCACTTTTCCGGCGGAAACACCTGTAGGGAAGACTTCTTCCTCGCCTGCCTCCTCAACGCCTCCACCTCCGAGACACGCGGCACCCACAAGTTCCGACATGTGTTTCTGAGGCATAAGCGGGGGTAAGTACCAGAATTTGATGGAATTAGATGCCCCTCATTCGTAAGTCTTCAATCTGAATATTTATGTAAAATTAGTCTGCCCCGATTTTTATACACATAGGCTGTTTAAAATGTGAATAGCACTGTTGATTGATGGTATTTAGTATTCAGTATTTATTTAAATAAATAAGTAAAAGTATTTTTATGTGTCGTAAGAAGAGATAAGCGGACGACAACAGTTTCTTTATATTATATTTTGACTTGCACTTTGTATGTAGACAATTCGAGCCGATCCCTCTGAGAATAAACAATCTGGGTGACGATGCATCTAGACACGATGGTTCAGATTATAAGCCAACACCTCTTAGAAATTCGACGCGCGCACCCGATGGCTTTACCGAACTGATAGAATCGTTGAAGTGAGTAAACATTTATTAATGTAGCAACTTTTAGATTACCGTATTAAGTTATATCTTTTCTGTTTCCCAAAATAAAAAAACTATTTTCGTTTCCTCTTGATGTAATGTATGAAATCTAATCCATAAGCTGTAATTAATTATTATAAGACGTTGATCTCGTAAAAATATTTTTTACAACTGAAATTCCGGGATTAGATCTAGATCTAGAATCTCAACACTATACAGTATTATTATATTGGTGTCTGATTAGATTGTATTCTTCAGATTGGACATGACGAGAAAAAGTGGATTAGATTCTGCTATGATGATCCAAAAGGCCGCCGAACGGCACCTGATGTCATTGATTCCGAAAGTGTGTGAATCGGATCTCGAAGTGTCCAAATTGGAGAGACAAGTGCGCGACCTAAAAGACAAGCTTGCAGCGCAGCAATTATCCAGGAAAACGAAGGTGAACGGTGAGAGCTACAAGAGGACCTTTAAAGCAAGCAGGGAGAATTGCTTATCGGAGAAAATCGATTCCTCGACGAAAGAAGAGATGAAAATCGGCGATGACATGCGTCTTCAAAGGGAACACATCCCGTCCTGCGTATGTCATCTTAAAAACTTGAACTAGATACATTTTATTGATTCCCCTTAGGGTTACAAGGCGTTTTTTTGAAGGAACGTGCCCAAACCTCTTATAACACCTCTCTCTATATCCACTTCTCTATGTGGCGATCGAATGAAAAACCAACAATGTTTTGTTTGGTTTTGAACCCAGGTCTTCGGATTACCAGACTAGCGCACAATCCTCTGCGCCACGATCGCCACTAAAAACTTGAACTAAATATGGAACATTCTAGATCAATTGCACAATTTTTCGATTTATAAACTTTTTTAGTCAATCGATTTTTTTTATCGAAAATTGAATACAAGCGCAATTTTCTCAATAATTTTTCAATATTTGGTTGTTTCAATAAATCAGATTAATATTCTAAAACTGTTAACTCTAGAGTAGACGTTAATGCACAAAATATGATCCTAGGCCCAGCCAGTTACCTCGAACAGCCGAACACCGAACCGCAATACTGCCGCTTGCATTGCTAAAAGTGTCGTAAGTCAGGAAAAGACTCGCCGTTTAGGACGCAGCAATTCGCAAGAAGATAGCAACCAGCAACATCAGCAAGATGTCCCCTTCGCTAATAGCAGGCGTGCCATTCCGGAAATTGCTACCGAGCCGATCTGTCAGGAAGATAGCGAAGTAAGCGTTGGTAGGGGCAGAGGAAGCGGTCGAGGTAACCCTGAATTCACTCCGGGAATGAAGAAACGCCGTGGCCCAGGTACAGCCCAGGCGTATTCCACCCGGGAAAGAACTATTACTCCGGAACAGGATTTCTCTGACGCCGAGTGTTCTGCTGCTGTATCCCTTAGCTCCCCCGTTCTCAGGTGAGGGGCTAGGGGTAAAACAAATAAATAGGAACAGAAAAGGAAGATCGTTAAAATGCATCATTTTCTTGAAAAATGAGAAATAATTTAAAAACAAACAGAAAAATTCAGTAGAAACTTTTTTTACTTATTTAATTACAGTGAAGGAATTCAAGATTTGAAAGGAAGAAATTGATTTTCTTTCGACGAAAGCAAAGAATTTCTCTTCAAGTTTTCAAGAAATAAAATAGATGACGCGAATAAAATTTCATTAATATAAATAGAATAAATTTGTTTCAATAGTACTTAATTTTATCCCAGGTCTTGCCAGGTAACAAAAAAGATAAATATGGATGAATGCAACACAGTGGACATTTGAGTGGAGAAACCAAATCCTGGAAAAATCACGCTTTCAGGCTGTCTCAAACTTCCGACATTTTTAATTTTGAAGATTTGAAAGAATCTGAAAGAATACAAGAGGGAAAAAGGAGAAATTGTAATGTTATAAAAAAAGCGCAGAACTGAAAGAAATTAACGAAAATCTAAAAGTACCCGAGAAGATGAAAGTTTCAGAGTTTAAAAAGATTGAGAGACATTTGAAGGAAACTGCGCTTTACTTTCTTGATAGAAGAATACGTTTAATCGGCAATTAGAAGCGATTTTTGTATTAATTATTTTATTTATAGGTGCCTTAAATTTTGCCGAAGACTTTAGTAAAAAATATTCTTTTAACAAAATAATATCTATTCCGTTTCTTATTTCATATTTGTCATTTGGTTTTTATTGTTTAATGTGCCATTACATATCTGTATGAAGTTGAACATATTTCATTACAAAATGTGTAAGCTTTTAGTTAGTATGCACTAATTATTAAAGACATTTTGTAAATAAAAGGGCGCAAAATGATTGTTATTTCATTTTGTGTTGTATAAATAAAATAAATGATAATAATTACAGAATTAATAATTAATCCTAGTTAATTCTTTGGCAAATGGGATACATCTAGGATTGTGATAAGAGGAAGCAAACTTTTAAATAAATACTGAAAACTATAATCTATCTACGTTATTGACGTTTGTTATTTTATATATCGATTAATATAGAAATATTAAATTTGAAGTGTCGAAAACGGAATTGTGCATTTCTATCATATTTTTTAAGAAAAGTTTTACAATCTATAACTAATAAGGATAAGAAAAACTAATATAATAAAGAGTAAAGATCCAAAAACTGGAAACATGTAAGAGTCTAACAATCTAAATATCACAGAAATTCGAGTACTTTGAAAGATACTCTTAGAGAATTTAAAATTGAGAATGTATAGAAGTTTAAAATCAAAATTCAAGGTATATTGAAATTCAGAAATTCTAGAGAATTCAGTCAAAATTAGACGGGCGAAATTTGAATTGAAAATTTTGACTCGAGGGAATACGATTTTAGAATATATCTGCAAAATTACTCGGCACCCCAGTGACTTCCCAGATGGTAGCTGCCAATCTACGGGAATGTTCCAGGACACATGTCGATGTAGTTAGTCCTAAGTGTACGCAGAATAGTTCGTAGATTCGTACTTTGCTCGGCAAGAGTTTCGGAAAACATGTTTCAGTTAATTTTCTGCAAATAAAAAATCAAGTTAGATACTCGAGTCTTTTGTAAGTATTGCATAATTATTCTATTTTATTAATATTGAAGTCTTTGATACTAAAATATATTATTAATTGTATATTTTTATAATTTTGGCAGATTAAAATTCACAAAAAAGAATTTAATTAAAGAATGTAGCTTAAAGTAACAACCTGTAATAATCTCCGCAGAGTATGCCTGGAACTGGGAAATTTTTCATGACATAGTTAAGATAGACTTTACATTTCGGTGGTGAACATCCCTGCAAACATGAAAAGGAATTAATATCTACTTGTATATATGTATGTATAAATTTTATATGTTGTTTTGACATAAAATGAAGTGTCGCGTAAGAAATTTAGTTTTCTATTAAAATGTCCGTAACATATTTGTGGAATAACAGGTAGAATCTAGTATAATGTAGTCTTATTTTTATATATTAATGTATTTAAATATAACACAACTGTACATACGGAACTGTCCTCAAACCACAAAAAGTAGGAATAATTAAATGTAGTATCCTTCCACATAACTGATAGATGACCCTCTTGTAAATGCATTCTGCTTTGCTCAACCATATTCCAAATCTATATATAAAAACAAATTTTTTTTATACGAATGTAGTCTATTTGCAATCAGAATCTTTGAATTATTACACGAGTATTTTACTTGAATCTCTGTAATAATTTTTTTTAATTTAAATTTCCAATACTCAAAAATTCTATTTCCTAACAGATTGAGAGATCAGTTATATGAGAAAAAAACTTTCCTGAATATGTTTAATAACTAAACTTCTAATTTACTTTAATACAATTAAATATACATGTACTGTGCACTTAAATTCAAAGAATTAACTTAAAGTACTAAAAAAGACAATGTCTCAATATAACTTACTTTTTTCATCGTGAGAGCGAGCGTTTCCGTGCTCGTGAAGTCCAGTGTGGGTGCCACGAGTCTGTGGGTACTCCTGTCGATGTAGATAAAATGCACCAAACCTGGAAACTCCTCAAGATACTTGTTGATAGTTAGGGAAGTTCTTGTGGAAAAATGGAAAATAACATTAAGGAGGCATATCAAATAAAAAAGTTGCACGTGTAATATGCCAATTTCGAGGTTTAGTCTTTTTAAACAAACAATTTAAGTTTTCAGTATGGAGGAGGAGGGTTATCGTAATAAATGCTATGTGTAGCATTATTACGATAAAGATAATTTAGAAAAATCGCTGTGCGACATTATAATACGTGAATTCACTGACGACAATGATTCCACCTAGCGAAAAACCTGTCTTTGTCCGTTTGTAACGGTACGCAGGACAGGGTGGAATAAATACAGTATATGGATTCACATGTGATAATTCATGTGACCACTATCTGTGCCAGGTCCTAAAAGGCGTTTACACTAATTGATTTATATCTGAAAAGGGCCGAGTTGCAAATCTAGTTGGCAAACAATTTAAAATCTTCTAACAAGAAATATATACATATAATTAACATTTTCTATATTAGTATCCATTCTTTTTCTATATAATAATGTGATTCCTCCAATTTTCTCGTGCTACGACAGTTTAAAAATAATTAGATTTAAAGGGTACAAACTTTACGAAACACTTTAAAAGTTATTTAGGAAAAAAGTCACGAAATTATGCCTTTTGAAGTTTGTTAGAAAAGGATATGATCCTAGCGTAAAGTTCTTCAATGCTTTGACTTTCAAGAAATCACTGAAATCGTTCAGCTTCTGCCTCACGAGTCTGCCAACCGTCGTCAGAACGTCAATTCCTTGCTTCAGGAAGTTTCTGTCAAAACAGGTCAAACGCAATAGTTCTTTAAGTGTTTCTACAAAGCCAGAAGTATTGGCTTCGATCTGCAGGACCACTTCAGGATCTCTAGAGCGCAGAAGATCGTTGTATTTTTTCCGTACAAAGTCCCATTTGGCTTGCAATCTCTTCTGACACATATCGACATCGTTCCCGACGTTAGAACGATTCTTTTTAATTCCCTCCAACACTTTTTTAATTGCTACATCGAGGTTCTCGAATGCTGGTTTTAGTTCATCGATGTCTCGTTGAAACTGCAGATTGTTTATCAGATTTAAATAATGAAAACTGTCGCACAATCCTGAAGAAATGGAAAGATTCGTGGCTTCGACGATTGTTATCAAGTTAATAGAATCTGACAACTCGAAGATGTGAACCGCATTAGCTGTATAGTTATGCTGGCAGCCAAGGAGAAGCGACTGACTGTAGAGATCATCGTCGGTTAAAGATGAAAGGCCTTCGGTCACAGAAGAGTCCCTAGAACCTCCTACAACAAATCAATAATAATTATAATCTATTACAATGTTTTCTTTGTTCACTAAAAATTCAAGAATGTTTACTGAAAACTTTCAATTATGCTAAACAAAAATATGTATCCATCATTAAAAACAACTACGCTGTAAAAACCTACTAAAGAGATCTGTAATATCCTCTGAAGTAGGAGCGGCCAGCTTAGCTCCGAAGCTCAATTTTGTTTCGTCGCTCTTCGAAGCACTGCTCTCCGGCAACAGGATATCACTATCACAGCAATTATCACTGCTTTCCGACTGATCGTTCTTCCGCTTTTTATTCACCACCCAGCATAGCAGGATCATCAGCAGGATGTCCGAGGCGCATAGATCACGAGCGTTCTTGCTGGAGTACAGTGACAGAAACTTGGAGCCTACCAGGAGTAGCACGTGCAGATTGCTGAATTCAGGCTGCGAATTCTTCAGCTTGTCGCAAGCATCATGCAACACCTTGAGAACCGAGGATGCCACTTCCGCGTTCACCGACAACTGCTCCACCGCTTCTGTCAGCATACTTTGCTCACAATTTCTTAGATGAGACCAAGCATCCAGCAGAGAAGATACCAAACACATCTTCTGCCAGTTGGTTTTCAATCTACAAAATCAGAGCGAAGCAATTAGCCAAGCTGTAATCGTAACTGTTTTTTACTAACAATCACTGTTTAATTAAATGTACAGCCACTGTCAGATAGAGATAGTTTACTAAATTTACAATCTTAAAGGAAGATTATAAGAAAACTTATCACAATGCAATCTATTATATTGAATATATGATTTTAAATATTTATATATTCTCTTACATCTACTTCGATATTATCTATTATATTTTATTAATTAATCTACTAACATTGCAATGTCCGGACCGCATACATGTCGTACAATGGATACGCACACTCCCAGTGTACGTCTCATGAGCTCAACTTCTTTCGCAGCGATGTACATGAAAGTATAGCCAATGTACTCATCGAACACCATGTTGGTTCCATCCTGGAACTTCATAGAGGTATAGGAGTTCCCAAACTGCGAGGCCATCACGTGCTGCGAGGTGACTATAGGTGAGAACAATTGCATTATGACATTAGGACTCGGTATGGAATCCTCCAAGTCCGCAGTGTCCTACAACAAGAAGTGCCTGTTATTCGTTAGTGAAGCAACACTGATCCCTCGAATGCTCATTTTGCCACAGTAGAACGTATATCATTTAGGGTTAGTCTCACAAACGTCGGTTAACTGTCGGCCAGAGTTTAGTCGACTATCTTTTTCTAGCTTATTATCTAGAAGAGACAGAGAACCAATTAACCTTCGGACAGCAGTTAACCGACGTTCGTGAAATTGGCCCTTAATAATCTATCTGCGTTCCTTCCCTAATATTCGAGAGAGTAAGTATACAATTCTAAGAGGTTGTGAACTTTACAGTGCTGATTATTATGTCGTTGAGGTCACATCTCAAAGACGTACCTTGTCGTCACCGTCGAGCAGTCCTTGCATCCTCGCCAGCTTCAGAATGTGGCTGGCGAACTTTTTGTTGCATTTTACAAACAACACGTCGTTCAGGTGGTCGAATATCAATATAGCTTTCATCGCTCGTTCTTGCAATTTAACGTGCGACTGTCACGTGTACCTTTCAGCATGTAAACGGAGCTCCGTTATTTGCGATATATTCGAGCTTGTAAACGCTGTATGCCGTTTATTGCTTATTATTTACCTCGCTTCAAAACGCTCGGAATGTTTTGACGTGAGAGTCGTCGACGTCACGGAACCGTCGAGAAACTTACCGATCATCGATACTTGGCAGAAAATTAAATTTTTAGAACTCACAAGATATCAGATAAAATCACAATTAATATAATTCCAAGAACTCTCAGAATTTCGAGATTGCGAATCGTAAAAATTTAAACTCTGAAAAATCGATAAGATATCGAAAGATTATAACGGAGGGAATGACACTAATTAAAATTCCATAACTTGTTTTTTTGGGTAGAAAGGACTATTTAAGGATTTAGGTAGTAACAATAAAATCTTATAAATTGTATTTATAAATAGATCTCCGTGCGATGACACGTGGCTAAAATATGAAGCGTTCAAATCAAAACTGGTAAATCCCAGGTTTGAATCCCCGACATCTTCGTCAACCCATATATCACTTGCAAAAATTAAGGGATCTAAGGAGAGGCCTAACACAAAATTGAAAACAGCTTCGAAATTGATTGGAGGTGTCTAGACTATAAAATTTATTCGAAGTACAATTATTATAAATGTGCAAGGGTTGGGTAGTGTCTATAGTTAAAAAGATAAATAAAGTTAAAAAGTTAAAGAAGCGCATCGAAATCAGTGAGGGACACTTCCAACCGTTTACTTGTTAGTTAAAATGAAAGATCTTACCCAACCCTGTAAATATATCTTATTAAATATCAAATGTGTTTTTGGGTTCTATCGGGTTTGATTAGTTTGGCTTCCTCTGCCATTGCCGAACCCTGTAAAATTTCATTCGCATGATATTGACCTGTACGCATGATATGTACATATGTTTGTTATGTAATACAAACTTACTGGGAAGAGGTGGTCTCATAAGATATGCACCCACCGGAAATGGTGGCATAAGCATGGGTATTCTGGGTGTCGGTATTTCGGGTATCGGCATTATTCCGCAAAATCTCTGAAATAAATATCGGTTTACTTGTTAAGTTTGAATTTATTATCTCAGATAATAGGTTCATGAATCGCTCTCACTTTAAACATTACAGAATATACGCAGTCCGATAATTTTCCAACCACTGTGTACATATTTATTAGAACTTCTTTCCTTTTGATCAAAATTATTACTTAAATATTTGATAAATTGCTCGATAATATTTCAAACAAGCATTTAACCCAATTTTTGTTCTTTTCAACATGGAGCGATTCAAACAAAAGTGCTTTTCATTTTTTTAATATCAAAATATTGCACTTACCACGTAGGGGTTGTAGAAGTTACCAGAGAAAGGGTAGTTTGCAAAAGTTTCTGGAAACACGCGATTATCTAACCCGCGTAAATGATCAGGATAAGTTCCAGATGAAAATTTTCTCTTGTCTCTCGTGTCTTTAGTTCGTTCACTGATCGGCGAATGACTTCTACTTCTAAAATACACGAAGAGTTATTTTACATTTCAAACATATATAATAAAAATATCTTACTTACTACTATTTAAATTATTTTAAATGATATAAATGAGCTTTGTTATAATGCACGAGGAAACATGCATCTCAGAATTATTAGCAAAAACAAGAGAGATTAACAGCAAAAGTATCCTTCTTAATTCAATTTTTTTTAATTACAATCTTTTAAATTATAGCCAATCGACAATTTCTTTTCGGGTTTTAAAGCTTTTTTGCATTTTTATTTCTTTTTATTTTCCTTCTTTGTATACTTTCTTTTTTTTATCTTTAATAATTGGGTTTAACTTTTGTACCTATAACAAGTTCTTGAGCGGTTCCTGATGTAAAGTGCACTGCTATTAGGTGATAAACTTCTTTCGCTTCCTCTTCTGTCTTTCTCTTTACTATCTCGTATTGAGCTATTTTGCCTTCTGGAACTATAGTAAAAAGTTGTATATGTGTATGTAAAACAGTATATTATTTATATGAAATTAAAATCTTATTAAAACTGTTAAGATTCTTATAATTTTTTCTTTCCGATAGTTTTTTCCGAAAGTGTTTTAAAGAGAAAAAGAAATTCAACAAAAAAGAGTAATAATATATTAATAATATTTATTGTAAGAATTTAGAATCTTCTTAGAATCACTTAGAATCGTCACGTAACAAGTTGTTAACTCTTAATTTAATAATAGATAAATTGAGACTAACCTGTTGTAATTATATTTTTTATTGTCATCATCACTTTCTTCATGACGCACAGTTGACTTGTACGAACTAGAATCATGTTAATATTTTCAATTATACAAGGTGTCTGATAAAAAAGTAGCCAATTTGGAAAAAAGTGGTAGTTTGGGTTAAACTAAGAAGAAAAGACATGTGCCCCGTTGCAAAACTCGCAATAGGCTTTTCTTCTTAGTTTAACTTTATCTACCACTATTTTCAAATTGGCAACTTTTTTATCAGACACCCTGTATAATATATATAATTAATATATAATTATATTATACATATATATTAATTATATATGGATTCATCACAACTTTATATCCATAATATGCTATCAGCTACAAATAGCCGATATGTACATTGTTCATAGCCGATACACTATCAGCTATGAACAGCTGAAAATATATTTAAAAAATTATTAATAAATTTATAATAAATACTCGTTTAATTCATTCATACACTTACAATATAAAATTATGAAAAGTTTGCAGACATTAACAGTGGACTCATTCATACTTCATAAATACTAAAACAAGATTTTTGTTTTCAAAGATTTATAAGTAGTTGAATTTATTTTTATCCATGACATACAAGGTGTACCAAAACTTTTTCTTACCGTGTTTGCATTTATCTTACTTCCTTCTTTTTCTTTAATAATGATATGTAGAATATTACCTGTTATGTGCCAAGTTTACCTGATCTCCAAGTTTTTCATCGAATCTTCTATCTCGGAAATCGTGAATATCCCTCTGCAAATTTTATAATAAAAATATTAAATTTAAAAAGAGAAATACAACTGTTTTAGGAAAAACTGTACATATTAATTCCATTCACATTGCGAAACGCAATACGCAATACTCAATAGTTTGTTTTATATATAATACATATGAAATAAATTATGATTATTATCAAGAGAAATATTTAAAATTAAAAATCTACTGAACTATATACATATCATTATTTTGAAAAAAATTTCCAATTCTATTTTGAATAGTATTATACACTATAATATTGAAAAATAAAGTTTGTATGAACCTAAAGAACAGAATATATCATTTAAAATAAGGACGATAATACAATACTTAATATGTAAAGAAAGGATATTGTATATTATTTTACTGACCTTAATTAATACATTAATGTTTTCTTACCAATTCTTCCGACAGTTCCGTTATTCCTTCATAATTTTTTAAGGTCAGAAATGAGTTCTACAATAGTAATTCTTCAGAGAATTCATAGTTACATTCGGTCTATATCACAAATTATTCATTCATACATTTATTTTTAAAACGATTCCTGAACATATTAAACATACTTTATAAATGCTAAAAAATGTAAGTAAAGTACATAAAATATAAATAAATAAACGAATGGAAGACTAAAATGTATTATAATCTGGAATAAATTTGCGCATCAACTTTTAAGCTGAAATGAAAAGTCTTTACACGAAAATAAAAACATAGTTTCCACACAATTCTACCAAATTCCAAAAATTAGAATTTCGATTTCAAGTTATTTAGAACAGCCCACCAAACTTTACAAATGTCTCATAACAAATATTAGGAAATAAAAAATACTTAGAAAGTCACACAGTTAAAAACACGTCTACATTGCACACTTGAACGACTAAAAAAAGAATAAAAAAACAAAAATACTAATATACATACATGTATTTTATTAAAGAAAACAAACAGATTAGTAAAAATATTTCATAAACTATTAATTTTTCGACAACTTCACCTTACCACTTTCATATTCGAAAATTGTCCACTCATTTTATATGTAAGGTGAAAGCACGTAAAATTACAGATAGGTAGCAACCATAGCGCATGTGCTGTGATGTGTTCATACCATATATGTAGTACTACTATATTGCTAGCATCGACTGAAACGTGTCGCAAACATTATATATAGCTCTGACTCTCTCGCTCTCACATAAACAAACTCGGTGCGTTATGCGCATGCGTTGGTATTTTCTATTAACGGGACTTTTTGGTTAGGTCATAATTGCGTCACTTGCGTGCTTATATCGCGTTTTTTATTTTTACCTTTTTTAACGTGATTGTGTTAAAAATGTAACATTTGGCTATCAAATGTTTCAGTAATTCATTTTTACTTTTCAAATGAACCGCCACTGCGCTTATATGCTGCGCTTGCGCAAAATAATCCAAGTCCATTCTGCTCGACCGTATCTATCTCTTTCTTTGCGCGTCGTTGGCGCTTGTCCCACTCACGTTGCTAGCAATTGCAATATAGTAGCACAGTATAACCAGTCTGCCCACTCGCTCTTTTGTTTCACGTTCGCGCCGATTCGTACTGCGCATCCGACATATTTTTATTCTGACCAATCACAGGATTTTTGTACGTGATTAGTGCAAAGTCGGTGTGACATTGAAAAATTCGCAGTGTTGACGAATAACGCGTAAATACTTTTATTAAAACAATTTTTTCATAGGCCATTTCCATTTACAATAAATAATGTATGCCAGTTCGTATGCGCCTTTACTGGATACGATCCTGAAAATGTCCCAGGCACTTTTAGCCGTTGATACACTGTTGGCGCGAATAAAAACATGGCGGAAAATTGAGAACGCCCAGATCAAAGGTGCCGACAGAGAGTGCAACTACTGGTTATACTGTGGTCGAGGTAGAGCGAATTAAACCGCATTAAAGCCTATCACACAATGCCTGGCAACAGGCAATAGGAATAGAATTTTTGACGCGTTGGATTCGTCGGAAATTTTTTTCCAACCAATCCAACGCGTCAGAAATTCTATTCCCTGTTCCTATTGCCTGTGCTTTCCTATTGTGTGATAGGCTTTAGAGTCCCATAGCATTTTGCGATCAAAACAAAACGGCGAAACAAGTGAAACATCGACCGACGCGACGCAAGGATCCGCGAATCAGCGTGCGACTTGGTGCAAGAGGAGTCGGCGCAGAAATTACGTTAGTTATTTCACACGCGACTAGGCAACGGACAGGAGTGGCGTGTAAATAACATAGCTGTACAGCTGTGATCTGTACCATCATATCGGGTGTGTTAATACGCGTAAAATGGTTAGGTTTACCGCGTCGGAGTATGTCGACATGATTCTCGCGTACGGAGCCTCGGGAGAGTGCGGTAGAAGTGCGGCTCGCCTCTACGCGCAACGGTTCCCCGGACGTCGGTGGCATCCCACCGGGTCCTCGATCCTCAAGTGCGTTCAGCGCGCGCGTGAAACCGGATCCGTTCAACCGGCCAAGCAGCACGACGCCGTGCCGTGGAAGCTGCACACGAGGCACGAGGAGAGGGTCATTCGCATGTTCGAAAATAACCCGGAGTACAGCATACGCCGTGTGGCGCGCCTGCTCAATCTCCCGAAGGGCGCGGTGCACCGTATCTGGCAGGAATACGAGTTGGAAACCCTGCGTGCCAGGGAGGAGGCCGAGAAAGATGTGGAGCCTTTCGAGTGTGTCTACCTCAAGGGAGGTACGATAGTTTCCGCCCGTTTTTATTTCGAGTCTACGCCAAGTGTTGGCTGTCAACAGGGTTTTTAGAAAGTCCGCGCGTTATTTGTGCTTCCGATATTGCTGACAAACGTGTAGAATAACGGCGAAGCGAATGATAAGTTGGTGGTGCTGAGTTGAAGAATTTCTTACATTTCTCTTACTTTCAGATGACGAGAACGAGTACGAGGAAGAGGACATGGACGACAAACCGCTAATAGAACTGTTATCTCGCTGCAAGTGACATTGAGAAAAAAGTGAACACGTTTTGTTACACTCGAAGTAATGTTAATTACTGGATTCTCTGCAAACCGTGTGGACACACGCCGATTCGTGGCGTCATCAATTGACAATTTATTACTTATCGTTATAATCTCAAAGTAGAGCTTTGCTCATGATTTTAATCCACTCTTCCTATTCTCTTTGACCACCACACTTATTACCAAACGCTCATATTCGTATAAATTTAATAATTTTACTTATATATTTTGTTTGTGTATAAGCAGTACTCAATATATCCATACATATTTAATAATGGTATATATATGTATAAGCAACACTCAATCCTTATCCATATACACTTCATAATTTTGTGTGTAAAAGCAATACGGGGAATTATACATTTATATTGAATCCTTGTCAATTTATTATTTTATCAATTTGATAACTTTGTAATGCGACTGCGTAAGCAGTGCTGAATGTATATACCTTTATGAATTGAATTAAAAATTCAAAAGAGCTTGTAAACTAAACTTCAAAGTTCGACGAAATAATGTACATACATCTGCAAGGTTGGGAACGTTACCTTGAAAAAGTAACGCGTTACCGTTACTTAGAAAGTAACGATTCGTTACTTTGTTGAAATGCCAAAGTAAGATGTTAGATTATAAAATTACACTATTATTATTTAATAATCAATATTAAAAGTTAAAACTTTAAACTAGTTTCTATATAGCAAGTTATCGAGCGTACAGAATCAAGACATCGTTAAATGCTTACAGCACATTCTCATGTGACATTGACTTCAAGCGTCCAATATCGGAATATTTTTGTTCAATCAAGAATAATGCGCGCGACCAGCGCACGATCTATTGAACGGATATAAAAGATAACAGAGAACTAAAGTAACGGCTGAATTCGTTACCGTTACAGACATAAAAAAGTAACGATCGTTACCGAAACAAGGTAACGAAAACAGTAACGGCGTTACAAGTAACGCGTTACTTCCCAACCCTGTACATTTGTACGTACAATATATGTGTATAAAGCCAACGGCACGCAATACTATTTTTCCTACTGGATTGATTACGAGAGTCAATCGGAACTTAGCCTAAAGTCACTTGATCTAAAACTCTGCATCCTTATTGGTTCTCGTGAACAATCCAGTAGGAAAACAAGCATCGTATGAGGTTGGCTTAAGCAATACTCAATATACAGGTATGTTATACACACATATATATGTGTATAATCTTATATACTATATGTACTATATGTATACTACATATAGAATCATTTGCAATATATATTTATCTAGTAATACATACCGGTGACGCAGAGTTGAATCACCATCAGGTCTTCCAGATGTGTGAGCGTTCTTCCAACTTGTTGACTGCTTATCTGAAATGATGAGATCCCAAACATATTTCTCTAACCTTCTCTTCAGTCGTGGCATTTTATTATAATCCAGACAATTCTGTTTCATTCTATCGATATTAAATACGGTATAAACAATTATTTTCTAAAGAACACGCATGTGTACGTGTGCAAAAAAATTACCAGCAACACCAGGATTATATTAATTAGAGCATTGAATGAATTGTTTGTAAAAGAAAAACAATAAGTATATATAAATACCCAATTGCTTATCTCGTGAGAATGAGACCGTCCATATCTCTTCGGTTTCTTTTATTTCACTTTTTCGGAACAGTGGATGTTCACCTTCATCTACAATTGACCAGTTTTTCCCAATTAATTCATGAGCTATGATAAATCGTGCATACTATACGTGTCTTCATCACAAGGAAAATGCAATTCTTCATTACGTTGAATTTACGACTCTTCATTAAGTATGTTGAAAGTATCAAATTTTATCACGGTATTAATATATGTATACACTATATTAATAATATAGAATATCAAACAATTTCTCTAAAATCATATATATCGCAAAGCTGATATAATACTTTACTTTGTCTTCGAGGAAGAATTATATCATGTGGATTTAGAATATCCCGTTTTATCTTGCTCGACGTGTCCCGATCCTCCGGTGGAACATATTGATGAACATCTGTCTTAATTTTATGCAGTTCTTTCATATCAATTATACCTTCTGGACCGTTAGCTATTGGCGCATTCCGTCTAAGATTATTTAAAGAAAAAAGGTGTTAATTTCTCTTCTTACAAAAGAATGAATAAAACAAGTTTAACAGGCGCGCCAAGTTCAACTCGTGGAATTATATCTATAACTTAATATTTTATATATTGCGCTGCCAAAACTATTGGTATTTATAAATTACAAATTTGCCCTGTTTTTGCCAAACGCATTCCGTGTTCAATTTAATCAACACTTAATTTGTAACTCGAGAACTCTGTATACTATGTACTCTTTAGAATGCTCAGGGTATCTAGCGTCTCTTCGTTGTGGACTATTGCTCTTGCTTCGTCTTTGGTGTAGAGAATGCTTCTTGTTTGTCTTGATAGCCTCGGCCCGGTTTCTCTCGTACTTTTCGATCATTTTTAGCTTCCGTTTCTCGTGCTCTTTTTCATACTCTTGTTCGATCCGCCACTTCTTTCTCGTCTGCCGCAACCTTTCTTGCTTTTGCTCTTCCGATGTTGGTTGTCGCTTGTGAGGGTCCATCGTTATCGCTGTAATCAACAATATCACATATCCACGTAGCAATGCCGCTTTTTAAAGAGACAAACGCTAGTAATCAGAACTTGTTTTCTATCGCTATGCTGGTAAATTAGTGCAGTAGGCTAGAATAAAAAAAAAGCATACTTATCTTACTCTAATTTGTTACACCAGTGTACCAGTTCACCAGTGCAGCAACAGAAAACAAATCTATAGTCAGATCTGGTATTTAAGACAGTCTTCAACTATATGGAACATTCCATTGGCTATGAAATATCTAAGGCCCATGTTAAACGAGTTGGTAGAAGCTAGAAATATAAGTCGATCCTCTTCATTCGAAGTAGAAGGAAAAGGGCCGATAAACAATCAAAGTGATTTTTCTTTATTAAGAGCAGAGTTTGATTTATTTGAGTTTACGCCCCAGTTCAATTAAGATCTATAATCCTTGCGCAACTGTTGCGAAAATCTCGAATCCGATTGGCGTACGCTTTTAAATTATTGGCAGAATCCACGAGCGTACTAAAATTAAACTCACGAATTTTATCACTGTTGCAACGCGGCCTTTTCCGCCGAACGCATTACCCGAGGAGAGCAAAGAGTCAGGATGATGTCAAATTTTGGTCAATGTGGCGTCAAATTGACCAAAATTTGACATAAATTTGATCAATATGACATCAAATTGACATCATCCTGACTTT